ATAAACCTATTTTTAAATTATATAAAATATAGTAATATATTCTTATATTATACTTTTACATTACGTTTCTATTATTATATTATTGAGAATTATTTAAAATCAAGCCTCTGAATGCAGATCTATACTGCCAAGGAGCTTCTTGTTCACCGAGTGGAGATACAAAATAATCCCTTAGTACATTTCTTTGTTGTGTAGCATTTGCGCGAGCATTATTGGTACCTATTCGTGTTAAATCTACAAAAGTACCTAATCCTGTTTCGTTACGCCAATTACCCAAAATTTCATCATGATCAGAAGTTTCATGGTCAATCAAATCATGTGGACAATAAGTTCTTGCAAACGGCATTACATGCTGCTCTTCTGCAGTCATGATGTAATTATGCAAGCAAACTAATGCTTTAATTATATTAATGACTTTGTCGGGGATGCAACATATAGTTCTCGTTAATATTTGTCAACGGGAAACCAATATCCCAAATGAATTTTCAATTACTCTCCTCGCTCTGGATAAGCGATAATTAAAAATGCGCTCTGCATCTCCCAAATCCTCCTATTATACGGCCGCAATAAATACATTTTTAGAGGGAAGGCTCATCTCCTACCTACAAATACATGATGTACCGGAATATTCGTCTGTGGTAAATTCTTAGGCGGAGGGAGATCAACATGTTCACGTTCAAGATCTATTATATTCCAAATTTGGACCTGCTCCACACACCACCATCACTTATAGATCCTGCAAAAATGAAAAATCATACTTGTATGAAATTCTCTCATAAGTTAACAAAGATAAAAAAAGATTTACCATACCTACTTACCATATTGACCAATGTCAACCCAAGTAAATTTAAATTGAGCATCACAAGTTGCCATAAGAACAATACTGAAATATTGTTTATAGTTAAAAAACTCTGATCCAGAGTTTGGAGGGCAACGTATTTTTATATGTTTCCCGTCTACTGCTCCAACACAATTGGGAAATTGCCACTTTAAATAAAATTCTTCAGCCACTTTGATCAATTTTTCTTGACTCATATATGGGAGATACGTAGGATGAAGGGCGTTCCATATAGCCTCACATACTTCCGGAATAATTTTATAAACTGTGGATCTTCCTACTCGATAATCCCATGATTGTGTTCGCACAGCATTTCCATGAGCAAGATAACTATAAAAAATCGCAATGTATAATGTGCAAAATTTTGTAAAATTTTATAATTTTATACTTACGACAGTGTTAAAGTAACACGTAAACCAGTAGGTAAAGGTTTTCTTATGCAATTTTGAGCATTTAGTAAAAATGGTGACACAAGTTCAACTAACTGCTCGAATTTATGCGGCCACATACGAGTGAATTCGTAAAATTCTTCGTGGTCATGCTCTTTCATGTACGTGAATATTGTATCGTAGTGTCCCTCTTTTTGTCGAGTTAGGTTAATCGGTCGGACCCACCATCGTCTTCGTTTCTTCTTTGCAATCAACTGGCACAAACTTAATGCTGTTGTATTTAATGTCAAGAATAAAAGAAGCAAATTATTCTTGTCTTGACAGCGTCGATCCATTTTTTTACACAATCTAGAGCAGCTAGTAAACAGAATTCGAGCTACTCTAATTTACGTCAATATCTTGTTGCGTTTTAGTCGCGTGGTGCTCTGCGCCTAATGTAGATAAGAGTCTTGTGTCATGTTTTGCGTCGTGCGAATACGTGCTGCGTTTTATCTGCGTCTGCGAGTTGCGTTTGACGCGTTGCGGCCTATGTAGACGGGCCTTTAAATAATGCGATTTTCGACAATAATGTAAC